GTTCTTGCATGAGGCCCAATGAGTCTCAAGAGATCTTCCTGTATAAATAAAGGATAAATAAAATAAAAAAAATTAAATTTTTTTAAGTAAAGTTAATTTACTTAAAATTTACTTAAATTGAACTTGTTTTAAGCAGTAGGAACCCTGTTTTTTTTGTGTAATATGTCAAAATATTCATATGGAAACAATTAAATGTAGAGTTTATTTCATACATGACCTAATGAATAAAGATTTCTAATGTTCTGATCCAGAATATCTCAAAAACCTGACATCTTGTCTTAAAACTACTTTTTTAAACTTTAACTGTCCTGAAGTTGGCACTGAGCATTCATTCACTCTAAACTGGTACATTTAAAGAATTATGTTGGGGACCAGACAAAATTTTAACAAGGACCAGATTTGGCTTGTGAGCCTTGAGTTTGATAGCTGACCAAAAATAATTCCAAGTGTCAAATTGTTTAAATATTTCAATCTGGCATTATATTAAATAATTCATATTAATCCTGTTAGAGCTTAATGTCCTTGAAAATGAAAACAAGGTTTTTGATGCTTTTTTTCAGAGTGAAAGAAGTTTACAGACTTGAGGAAATGGAGAAAATCTTCCTCAGGTCAGATAAATTGTTCTTCGTTAAATTCCACATAAACAAGTTTATGAGGCACTTTTCTTTAAGTTTTATTATAAAAGATCATCTCAACTATTCTCCTTTGTTTTCCAGACTTGAGATGAAGATAACCAAGAGTTCAGGAGGTGTTCCTCGACTGTCCTACACCGGCAGAGACGACCGGCATTTCCTTCCTACGGGCCTTTACATCATTAAAACCGTCAATGGTCGGTGCTGGACATGTGCTGTGTGTAGCAACATAAACAGCTTCTTTTGTGTTAATTACAAAATAACCGTTAAATGTCTCCAAATGTGTTTATTTTCCCATCACCCCTCAGAGCCGTGGACGATGGCTTACAGCAAAAACTCCAACAAGAAGTTCTTCTTTAACAAGCTAACCCAGATATCAACTTACGAGATGCCACCGAATGCTGCTGCTCCTTTCCTGTACGTACGCTTTGTGTTTTAGCTAACGAGGTCGGATGATGGAGTCTAACCTTTATTGTTTTTTCTTTTCTTATATATATATGTATATATATATATATATATATATATATATATATATATAGTTATTGAAATTTGAAGTTTATTTTTGATTGATTTTATCTGATTTTTTAACTGATATTATCTTTCATTTATTTATGATTTGTATTTTAATTATATT